AGTAGTTACCCTCTGCTAGGAGGACTTGGGTGCGCTTGGTAGTCATGGCGGTGAAGGTGTGGTGAAGCGAAGCTGTTGTATGCGGTTGTTAACCTGTTGATAAGATGTGTTGATAAGATGGCAAAAACCGAAGTGAATATATTTAGGTCCTTAGTTAGCTACTCTGTGCTACCTCTAAGCTTGTCTTTCTAGATCCTTCTAGAAGCTTCTTAATGTAAACTTATCTATCTAGACCAATGAGCGACTACCATTATGTCCGTAATCAGCATCCGTAATCATCCACATGCATTCAGCGGTGTAATTTTAACAATAAGCATTCTCGGTGTTTGTTAACCAATCGATCAAGTGAAATCCCAGTCCCAAAAGCTTTAATCGACCTCTCCGCCAATTCTCCCTTTAATTACAGTATGCTTGGTGCCTCCTTCGATTTATCCCTCTGCAACTATAATTTACTAAGGTTTGAACAAAAAAAAATCACAAATGGAAGATCTCTCGATTACGGCAAGAGTCTGCAATCCCTACTTCACAAATATCGATTCAATGTCGTAGCGCAGTATTTTGCCGTTCACCTCAGTATTTCTCGTAGAATGCCTTGAATTTCATTCAGTTGCTCGCTACCTTCATCCTTCATCGAATGCCTCAACCAAAGGTATGGGGAGATCCTTTGGTAATGCCGCTTATGCTAAGCATCCACCACACCGACAGGAGGAATAGCTTTCTCTGGACAAGCTTAGTTTTATCCTTGTGAAGCATTTTCAAAGCGCGCGATGTTTTCGCTCGAGATCAGGGGTAAAATGAAGGTACTGTTTGCTTCCCTTTCATGGAGTCACATCCCAGAGTACCAATCATTATTGGCATTGTGGCTGCATCGTGTAGATTCCGTTTTTACAGGGGGCGTAACAGCTTCGGTATAATGCACAAACCGTATTTCTTCCTGTCAACACCTCAGAAGTTAGGCTTTTTCGACATTTATCTCCACCTCAACTGCGCTACTCTAGCTCCGGTAAAAAAAAATACAATGTACATTAAACCTTCTCGTTCATGCCACGATGCTTAGCCTCATTGTCTGCATCTTCTATCAGTCCGAATCGGAAAGAAAACACCACTTCGAGCAGCAATCCAACCGTTCGACCTTTGCCAACGCGAGGACCACATCGCCTTCGCGCTTTTGTTCCAGCTCTTATCCGGTCATGTCAACCTTCAGGTTGATCTCGATCAGCGACACATCCATCGCGTTGTGATTACCGACCCATTGAGCTCGCAATCTGTCGGCAGAATGCTCAGTAGCACCATGAGCTGCTTGCCTCGACCAATTTTTCAAGGGTCTGCAGAACCCACGACCAGCTCGCCAAAGCTGTCTAGATGCTTAGTCTTTTTACCCTTTCACTATCGTGAATTCATGAAGAGATCGCGTCACTGTAACACGGAATGCAAGGTTGTTCGGTTGTCCTGTTATGTCGTATCCGCGCGGTTTATGCTTGATCGCAGATCGCAGCGTTACAATAGCCTGGGTCGCAGAACGTATTTTGTCTGGCGATATAAATCAAATCCTTAAGCTATAACACTGAGTACTTTGGCGGGGTTCACCAGCCACGCGTCCGTGACCTCTTTCTAAGCCTTAAACGCCTCTTGTCATGAGCATGTTGGACTTTCAGTGAAAGTAGTCTGCATTACTCGGAGGACAGTTCACGGTCAAAATGGAGATTTGTGCTTTGGTCTTGCCGTTGGACTGACACTCGAATTTTAGGTGGTTAACGTCGAAATAAATTATCGTGATAATGTCCTCCTTGTCTTCGTGCCGATTCACCAATTTTCAGCTGCTTTCAATCTAAACGGCGGTATCAATTTGTGGCTGGACCGAGCATGTTCAAAAGCAGTACAATCTTATTGTCTAATTGTGAGATGTATTTTTATGTGATGGCAAAAATCTGTATCTGTATTCTCCACTCATGAAAGACGTGATCAGTACTCATAAATTCGTTGTCAGTTTAGCAACAGATATTCAGTCAGCACCTTGCTTCCAAATTCTAGTACAACCATTAGCAGCTACAATACACGCAGGATGAGCTGATACATCTTCCTACACTTTCCATGTTGAAATTGTCGCATCACAACTTTGCTCAGCTTTCAGCATCTATAATCGACCTTCGAGCAATTTGATGCATAAAACATAACCGAGTGAAGTCTACCAAGCTCACGACGCATTGACCAATTTACTGGCTCAAATATTACCTCCTTTAAACTTACAAAATACTGAAGTGGTGAAGTTTATTTTTCTTGAGCTATATTAGCAAACTTAGTAGAAGTTGGCTGGTTGGCGCTGACGCTGGAGTGATGACATTGAAGAGGGCGTCCTTGATTTTGTTCTACAAGGGTCATAAACGAATAAGAACACGACAAAATGAGTGGGAAGTAATCTCAAGACTCTTTCTTACCTCTTGAAGCGGATAATTGGTAGCCGATAGCATGCCACACTTATCTTGAACCGATATGTTACCATCATCCAAATAAGAAACGCTTCTAACGCTTCTCTTACACTATGAAACAGGTGACAACCCGTGTTCAGTCTCTCTCGAATATTGCATCATATTGCATCATACTGTCGTGTAGTAAATTTTCGAATGCTGATCCGATATATCATGCATCGTCTTACTAAAAAATGTAATTGAGTTATGCTGTCGTCAAATGTCATCTTGTTTATTTCTAAAATCAACCACCAGAGCATACTGGAGTTACTGTAAATCCACGTCAAGCTTCTTATTTTTCTGGTGAAGCTGACATGATTTCTGGCTTGATAGACGTAGCAACCGCAAGGTGTTGAAAGTATTCCTCACTTTTGACTCCTGAATCCACCAAAGTCGTAAGCATAGTTGTGGAAGAGAACATGGACAGCAGCATATCCTCTGCTATTTTTTTTATCCGCGGGTATTTCCTTTGAGATCTTAACAAAATAGTTGATACACGAAGCTCCCGCCGTGAAGAAGCCTCGACTGGAATCATCGCCTGCTTATCAATTCGCGCAACCTCAGCCGATCGATACAGCATCTCATCTCAATCATCTCAGAAACACGGCTGGTGAAGATGTAAAGTTCGTACTTGGAAATAGCTATTATGAGGGCAAGACCGTAATAGACTGGTCAGAAAGTGTACAAGCCTCCAGGAATATCCCCACAAGTGATGACAGTATTGAGAAATATGATAATACAAAGCTGCTAGCCTCTTTAACAGAGAAAGTAACACCAGAGCCAATTGTGCCACAAGACGTGGTGGATCTGTTTGATACACTCCAAGCCAACCCACGATTCCTGAGCTTGGCAGAAATTGTACAACGAACTATGGTATTGGATTCCATGTACAAGCCTTTAGTGTTTGGGCAAAGGATAGAAAAGAGTTCTTTCCCAGAAAAGATTCTCGACATTTTTTTGCGCACAAGTCTGTGGACGTTTAAGTCACGGATCAACTGTTTTTGGCGTGGCTTGAATACTTCACGTGGTACTGGAGACTTTCGAAAAGTAACAGCCCATTGCGCTACGCTAGATTTCTGAACGCACTACGCACACACTTTTCGGAAGAGAATCTGGATGAGACAATAACATCACAAGAGTTCGCGGAAGTATTTTTAAAACAAGAAGTTGAGGGTGTGCTGGACGACTTATTCAGCATACGGTGGACTTGGCGCACGGATTATCTTTTACGCAAAAAGTCTGGATCAGATCTTGTGTTTCCCAAATTATATAAATACTTGCATGAGTCAGATAAGTGTCACGGTGCGCAGGCGAAGAAACGTTGGCGAAGAAAGCCGAAGTCGTTGGCGCAAGGTGAGCGCTGGCGGAGGCTGTTGGAGAGGAGGTCCT